TCCACCCCTGCGAACACTGTGATTAACTCCTCGTCGTTCACGTCCCGTTCTCCAACAACGGCGTGCGTGGATTTCTTAGTAGCTTTCACCATTATTTCATGGGCTCCTCCAAAATGTGGGGCAGCCGGTGGATTGAATCTCCATGTCACTCCAAGTTCGACTGTCTTGTTCTGAAGATGTTTTTGGTCTAACTGGCGGACTAGTTTCTTTAACTCGCCCTCTGCGCCCACGAAATTTGTGCCTCTGTCGCTTGTCACGTCTTAAGGAACTTCATGACGACTGGTAAAACGGGCGAAGGCATTTAAGAACGTGTCAGTATCCAGTCCCCAGGCCATCTGTAAATGCACTGCTCGTGTTTCCAAGCAAGTGAAAAGGTACAACCACCTTTTCTGTCGTGCTTCTTTGCGTCCTTGAACAGTATAGAAAGGACCTGCAAAATCTATGGCTGTTTGGGCGAAGGGTCTGAAGCTGAAATGGAGCCTCATTTGCGGGAGTGGGGCCATAATCTGACAAGCTGGCTTGTTTCGTCTTCTCTTACATTCGTTACATTCACGATCCCACTCGCGAATCTCCTCGCGTGCGGCGATAATCCAAAATCTCTCACTCATCTGGCAAAGAGTGAAGTTTACTCCAGGAGCATGATTTCCTCTCTCATGTTAGTGCTTCACAATAAGTTTCGTCACCCAGTGTCCACGAGGTAGAATGAATGGAAATCTGGTATCATATGGAAGAAAACCTGCGAACTTTAATCGGCCATCACTGCGGATAACTCCATCGTCGTCAATGCACGGGTTAAGCTTTATCAACTGGCTTTTCTTTGGTATCGGCTTCCCTGAGCTCAAAGCTGTGTACTCGTCACAAAAAGCGTTGCGTTGTGCGAAGCGCACCATTTCTCCTTCAGGATCCTTCAATTCTTCGGGCAACAGTTCCATACTTTCATTCCTATTGTCTCTGCTGCGCATGTTTTGTAGTACTGTTCTCACTCTCGCGTGTACTCGAACCAAACGTGTTCAACTGGAAAACCGTTTGGGATCTAGTCTCCACTCTTTTAACGTGTTGCTCTGTTTCGGTGCGGTTCCTTTCTGAAGATTACACGTCATAAGGGTTGTATAGGCATTCATGTCTTCTTTCCTTTTCGAGTTTCTCGTCTCTGGCTTTTCACTAGGTCTGTCCGGGACTTTCATCTTTGACCACTTACTGAAATCATCTGTCAGCCAGTCAGGACCATTCCACCACAAGGAACATTTGTACATAAATCGGCTGGATTCTCTTTGGTAGAGACGTGCTGCCACTGTGACGGCTCAGTGAACATCTGTATTTCACCAATTCGGTTGGCTACGAACGGTCGGAAGTCCCTGCCGCGACCTCGAATCCACCATAGAACATCTGTACTGTCAGAGTGAAACGTCACGCTTTGCATTGGTACTTCTCAGGCTGTCAGCAACGACTGTGTTAAGCGTAGGCCTAAAATCGCACCCATGAGTTCCAGTCTGGGTACTGTCATCGGGTGCCACTCTGCTCTTTGCTGCTACCAGGCGACTGGTTGCAGTATCGTTATCGTATCCACAGCGGATATAGACTGCTGCACCATAAGCTTTTTGAGAGGCATCGACAAAAGTCACAATGTGCTTCGACTTAACAGGCTCTGGACTTCGCAGACACCGAGGAATCATCACCTCGTGCAGACTTTTCAATTGCTCGAACCAAGTCCCGATTTGATTCATCTTGAACTTCGTCGTCCCAGTCGTAACCTCGCATCCACAATTCCTGAAGTAGAATCTTTGCCACAATAACGTATGGGCATACGAATCCCAGTGGGTCAAAAATCGTTGCTACTTTACGCAGGACGTTTCGCTTTGTTGTCTGAAATTCCGGGTAAACTGGAGAAGCGGTAGCGGTAAACACCTCTTCAGTACTTTTCCGGGAAATTCCCAGTGTCTTGGTTATCGAGTCTTGACCGATGCTAATCATAATCTCTGTGGCGCGTTCTTCTGATGGAATCGCCTCAATAACTTTCGGTGAATTAGAGATCCATTTCCTGGCTTACATGCCGGCGACTCCCCATAATGCCTTCAGTTGACGGTATAGCTCCACTCCTTCATCATCGTTTTCAACACTGTCAGTAGAATCGTCCATATAAGTTGACTTAAGGACGGTCTCAGCGGCAAGGGGATAACGGTCTTGGTTTCTTCGAGCATTTTCCTGCGCGACGAATTGCGACTCCATAGGGGCTGAATTCTTTCCAAAAACTACACGGTTAAACTCGAATACATGTGGCTCTCGGTTAGGGTGAAGATCTCTCCACAAGAGTCGGATGTGGGATCGGTCCTGCTCCTCAATCTCTATCTGGTGGTACATTTCTTTGATGTCGCAGGCGTTGCCAACAGGGTTTCGACGGAAACGGACGAGGACTTTGAAAAATTCTTGCAGTAATTTCGGCCAAGGATGAATCATGTCATTTAAGGAAGTACCATTACATTTAGCGGCACAGTCAAATACGATTCGTACTTTTGTTGTCGATTTATCCATTCTCACGACCGGAAAATGCGGCAAATATCATACGTTAGCTGGCAGCTGTTCGTTTGAGGGAATCTTTCGTAAATATCCTTTACCAACATAGGCCTGGATGGTTGCTTGATATTCTCCAGCGACACGGTTGCTCTTCTTCAAATTTCTTTCGGTGCTTCGTAGTCGAGATAGTACCATAGGCTTAGTGTCAGGGAGATCGGGTTTGTTTTCTTTCCAAGGAACGGCTACACGATACCTTCCATTTTTGTACTTTAGGGAATCTTTCACTTTGCTTCAAGCTAGTCTTTCTTCTTCGGTGAGTACGAGTCTGTCATCGTGGTCTGTGCCAGACTTCTCAATTTCCCAGAATCTCTTTAAGCTGTTGTCAACATCACAACAGGACTCTTTTCTCTCGCTCCAAATTAGCTCTCTAGTGAACAAGGAAGGAATAACGTGCGATCGTGTCCTCGCGGTTTCGCTTTCGTCAGGCGCACCTATACAACTCCACCCAGGTGGTCCGAGGCGGGCGACAGGTCCACCATATTTTCCTCGGAGATCAACATGTGAATAATGGAGTTCAGCTTTATCAATGCCAATCAAAAGATCGACAAGTCCATCATTTGACGGCTTGGGAAAACTGCACTGGGTCAGGTAAGGCCATTTATCCTGATGTTTGTTCCAGTTCACAGCTCTGTAACTACCTTTTTTTTCTGAGGACATGTTTTTACCCCGATTTCCTTTGACAACCTGCCATCTACACTTTCGATTTCAATTTTTAATGCCATGGACTGAAACGTTTCGACGGTGTCGTTGAGAACATGAACTCGAACTTTTTCGAAAGGCTCGTGCAGTCCTAGTACCCCAGCAACCTCTTCAGTTAGGAAAGTTTCGTTCGATGCGTCGTCTAGAATGGCGTTTATTTTTTACTTTGCTGCTATTGGCCTTCATCCACATAGGGACAGTTCGTAACGAATAAGATTCAGTCGACGTTCCTCCATTACAGCTGGTCAGGGTCACAGCGGGTGCCCCCTTCCGTAGAACATCTGGGCGTCTCTCATCTTCAACATAAGGCAACGTTGTCGTCGGTCCAGTTTCCGACAAAACTTCACCACCGTGAAGAATACGGTGATGATTTCGAGAGCAACCATCTATACCACACTTGCGGGCTCTTAGGCAATCTTTCCCCCTATGATCAGACTCTAGGCAACGGAAACACAGCCTTCTTTCTTTCGCGATCTTCCTGCGGTCATCCACTCCTCTGTCGTAAAACTCCTTGCAATACCACACCCCATGATAGAAACTGTGACAGAGAGAACATGGAGGCTTCACACCCCGCGGCTCTTTCGCCATTGCAACAGTATGTAACTTTCGCATCCTGCTCGGATCCTGGTATCTCGGTATTCACGGAAATCTGGCGTGCTCGACAGGTTTCGACTCAATCCCGTTCACCATTTCCGTTGCTTCTATTCGGAATCTGACTTCGTCTTTTAACCAGTCTCTGAAAGCTATGACTGATCATTGTCTGGCACGTTCGTTTAACCAGCGACTGTAATTCTCTAGAAGACGATCAGGCAACTTTTTTTACCAGCAGGCTGTGAAGAGTTCCATCTCGTAACTCACGGTCTATTCCTTCGGCCTGTAACTTTACCACTGTAATGCTAACAAGGTCAGCAAACTTCTCCAGCGCGTGGATATCGTTCCTTCTTATTAACGGCGCCTGTTCTAGTTGATCCAAGTAGGCTCGCAGAAGCCGGCGCGTACCTCCATACTTCGTTTTTAATATTTCTTTTGCCTCCTTGTATTCGGGGGCGGCGATTTCAAGACAACGGATGGCTTTCAAAGCGTTCCCTCAGTAAGGCATTGTCATAATCTTGCCATTTTCAAATGGCAATGGCCATTTTCAAATGGTACTGGCTCCGTTGACTCGTCTTCGAGACTTGTAAAAAGGGCCCAAAACTCTTCAAACTTTCTCTTGTCACCATTGAACGTGGGAACTGTTAACGGCTTCAAATATCAGTTCCGGACGTCGTGGCTGCCGTGACTTTCGTTAAGCTGATCTTCTCGGGCCGATTGCTCGTAGCGATCCGCTGTGTTCTCGATTAATGGCCAGTTCATATTTTCGGTTTTTGGACGCGCGGACTTTAATCGCATTTTTACCCGCTTCAATCGTTTTTTGTACTTCTCTTTCGATCGTTTTGGACTCTTCAAACGCTTCTTTTTTTGCAGCTTCTTCTTTGAATTCCACATAGAATGCGGCCAGTTCCTTTAAAATCTCTTGTACTTCCTCTAGCGCTGCCCAAAGTTGTTCAATCACACTTTCTATGTCGGTTATTTCTGAATCTCTTAAGCATAGTTTTTCCAACTCATGTCTGAGTTTTGTCAATTCTGTCTTTGCGTTACGTTTTCTTCGCTTAATCTCTATCAACAGAACGTCCTTTGGCTTCTGTTTGTCGACTCCACTAGGTCCAGTTTTGTCGTTTTTCTCGATAACTTCAACAACTTCGCAATTCTCGCATTCAGCGGAAGCCATAGCACTCAACTCGGAAACGAAATCTCCAAAAAAAATTGCAGCCCATACCTTGCTCCCATCGTGGTCGCCAAAAATGTTCGGAAGCGAAACGGGAAATACAAACAAACACTTTAATTCCAATACGGTAAACTGTAGACTCACGGTAAACGACAACGACCATTAAACAAAGCTGCCACTCGATAAACTAAAAAACTTTTCAACTCCCTCCAAAAAATTGCACACGTCAAAATTAAAAGGTCCGCGTCATTTGCTTACGATATTATTAGCCTACGTAGTCCCAAAGCACGTGCACGCGAGTCGCACGCGCACAAGTTCATTAACGTCTTCTTAACAAGTACCTTGGATGACGTCATGCCCCTTGCAGCTCTATGGCCACAGTACATAATTGATCTTTTTGAAGCTATCAATTGAAAAAGAACGAAGGGGAAAAAACGACCATAAAAAAAGAGATAAAGGAAACAATAATTAAAGAAGAAACTTACCAATTTGAATGGACGTATCTTTCCATTGAAATGTGGCGTGTAATAATATAAAAACAAGCGACACGCGTACATTTTTCCCAAGGATCAACCACCAGAATGCGTGCCGGTGTTTACCATTTTGGGCTTTAAAACATGTGCCTGTATCTCCGTCGATAGCCAAACGACTAAATTTAGTGGGATATGAGTATTGTTTCCTTCCAATAACGTTTCCTGTACATGGAGAGTAAATAAGCTCAATAAAAAAGCTATCGCAACCAGTCGTAGACATAAGAGACGTGTCTATAGTCAGCAAATAGTTGTTAACCTGGAGTAACAGTTAATTGTGTATTTTTATAGAACTCTTTTCTGATACGTTAAATAACTTTTCGTCATCCTAATGGTGAGTTATCATTTAATTCAGGTGGTTAGTTGCTTGTCAGTGGAATGTTTAATTTGGATATATCAACAAAGTTGAAATGGTAAATTGGCCACTGTAATGATTACAAAAGCTGACGTTTCGAGCGTTAGCCCTTCGTTACTTCGTTACTCCCACCGACGCAGCCCCAAACAGTTTCTTTCGAAACTATCAGCCTTTATTCAGTGGAATGTTTAAGTCTTGTGAGTTATTTTAA